TCTTTAGGGTAACTGAATACTAGATTGGAGACATAGTAAAGTAGATGCTAAGTCCTAGAACTCATTTAACTTGTGACCATGGTGGACAATGTTCTTTTCAGTAAATGGCATAATGATATCTCTTCTCCCTATCCTATATAATAAAGAGGTAATATGAAAATTGACCCACATGCCCTCACAAGATGGCTGCTTACAACCAGGCTGCCAGGGGGGTTAGTGAGGGACAACCAAACGACTGAACAGCAGGCTGCATGGGGTGACCAGGCTGGTGAGGGGGGTCAGTTAGGGGCAACCAGGCCATCAGAGGGGGGCAGTTGGGGGTGACCAGGCCAGCAGGGGTACAGCAAGAGGCAACCAGGCAGGTGGGGGGGTAGTTGGGGTGACCAGGCTCATGGGGGGGACAGTGAGGGGTGACCAGGCCAGCAGAGGTGGGAAGTAAGGGGTGACCAGGTTGGCAGGGGGGGAAGTTAGGAGCAACCAGACTGGCAGGGGAGGAGGCAGTTGGTGGTACCTGGCCAGCAGCAGGGGGCAGTTAGGGGCAACCAGGCTGGCACACAGAGGTAGTAAGAGGCGATCAGGCCAGTGGGAGGTGCAGTTAGGGGTGACTAGGCAGGCAGGCAGGCAGGTGAGCAATTAGGAGCCAGCAGTCCAGGATTGTGAGAGCAATGTCCGACTGCTGGTTTAGGCCCAATCCCCGGGGGGTCCCGGATTGGAGAGGGTGCAGGATGGGCTGAGGGGACCCCCCCAACACACACCCATGCACGAATTTCATGCACCGGGCCTCTAGTCTCATATAAGCTTGGAGTTCATTGTCCAAACTGTTTCAATGTCCTTATATGGCAAATTGGGTGCACAGACTCATTGCATTCAACATTAACAGTACTAGGCTAATATGATCTAAACCTAAAAATACTTGGTTGAACGTATTTGTTTGGAGAAAATCTACATTCAGGCAAAAAATTTTACTTATGTAGAAAAATACATTGGTAAATTTATTAACCAAGTTTTAAATATGACCACTGGAAATTTTTATTGTTTAAAAATAGAGATATACCAGTTTATCTTCTCCTCTATTCTTTGAAATTTCAAAAGTAAATTGTATACCTCAATTACTATTAGCTAATGCTATTTGTGTGGTCAGTGTATTGGAGAAAATATGTTTGTAGAAAAAATTGAATATGCTAATAACTACTAAACTGTACACTTAGAAATAGTTAAGATGACAATTTTCATGTTATGCATTTTTGATTATATATATATATATATATATATATATATATATATCCTATCTAATAATAGACAAACATTGTAATTGACCGTACCTTCGCTATGCTTCCCATTGGCTAATCAGGGCGATATGCAAATTAACTGCCAACAAAGATGGCAGTTAACCTCCAACAAAGATGGCGGTTAATTTGCATACGTAGGCGCAATGCTGGGAGGCGAAAGGGGAAGGATGGAAGAAGCCGCCTGCCGCTGACAGTGATTGGAACCCAAGCGGTAGGCAAGAGCGGGGTGGCAGGGCAAAGTCGGCCCTGGGGGCTGCCTTTGCCCTGCTCCTCGGCCCATGATCAGAGAAGTGGGGCTGCCTTTGCCCTCCCCCTGGCCGGTGATTGGAGAAGCCTGGCGGGGCAGGGAAGAGGTGGCCACCGGCAGCCGTCTCTTCCCAACCCGCCCCCCCGCCCCGCCCCCGGCCGGTGATTGAAGAAGTCCCTGTATTTTTTTTTCAAAGTACCTGTATTTTTAATAATTTCTTGACATGGTAAAAGAAGGAGAAGGAGCAGCAGAACAATCCAACAAACAAAAAGGGAAACAGAAATGCATGGTGGAAGGGATTTGAAGGGTGGGTAGGGGCATTGCCCAACTAAAATGCAATTGGTTTGTGACTGAGTACTATTCATAGGAAGACAGCATCCTGACTCCTTCTCTATACAGCATATTGGGAGTAAAAATGATGCAAACAGGTGGATATATGATTAGGGGTTGGAAGACAGACAGGGAAAGAAGAACTCAGAAATAGACACTGAGAGAGTCACTGGCTGGCTGGCTGCAAATACTGACTCTCCAGTAGTGATAGAATAAAAAAGTGGGGGATATCTCTGGAAGATTCAAGAGATAGGGGGCAACTCTTCTATGGTTTTGACTTGCCCAGCAGATTTCCACATACACATGTGTACACGCCTATGTTTGCATGCACACACATATTCACATAACTGACTGCCCTCCCTGGAAGCACAGAAGAAGAAGAAGCCGCCAGAAGAAGAAGCCGCCCACCTTTGGTCCAGGCGCTAGCGCCTGCGGCTGGCTGCAGCCCAGGAGACGGAGAAGCCACCCGCCCGAGGTCCCAGGCTGCAGCCACCAAGAGAAGCTGCCAGCCCTGTGGTCCAGGGCGCCAGCACCTGTGGCCAGAGAAATAGGTTCCCTCTTCTCCTACTGTAGTCATTACTTCAATATCCCCCTTCTGAATTTCTCTCCTGTGCTGCAAACCAACTCCACTTTTCATCAGAAGGATACAGAACAGAGAGAGCAGTGTTAAAAGCTTACATTTTTAAGCCAGTAAGGTTGGTACTTAAACAAATAAATGGAAAACTAGAGTCCTTAAGTTAACAAAGGCTACAAAGGACAGGGACAGCGCATGACCTATTATATCCAGTAATCCATATGGGGGCTGAAAACTTTGCAATGATGACAATTAGTGAAGATATGAATCACCTAAAATAGTTGACAGGGACAATTCTTCCATCTTTGAAAATATCTACATCAAATCTGTTTAAATAGATTTTCATCTCCATAATATATCACATTCTGACAAGACCCCCCCCCCCACCAATGTGGTCAGTGTTGTGTTGATAAATGTTTAAAAACTGAGGGCCCCCCCCCCCCCCCGCGAGTGCACAAATTTTTGTGCACCGGGCTACTAGTGTGTGTAGTGTGTGTGTGTGTGTGTGTGTGTGTGTGTATGTAAGAGAGAGAGAGAGAGAGAGAGAGAGAGAGAGAGAGAGAGAAAGAGAGAGAAAGAGAGAGAGAGAGATTGGTTGAGTCCCATATGTGCCATGACTGGGGATCTAACCCACAACCTAGGTATGTGCCCTTTCCAGGAATTGAACCCACAAACATTTTGGTGTATGAGTGATGACTCTCCAACCAACTGAGCCACCCAACCAGGACATATATATATATATTTTAAATCATTGATACTTCCCTAGTATCTTATACTTATAATGACATTGCTTTTCTGAAAAAAAAAGTGACTAAAAAATTGACTACATATACATGTTGGGAAATATCAGATTTACTAACAGTTTCTTGACACAAAATACAAACTATTAATCAGTATTTTCTTTATTAGATTTTGACACATTTTACCACCCAATAGTATAACTCAATTCCATGGTTTATATTGACTCAAAAAGAGGGATTTTCTTGCCTTTTTTAGATCCTGCACAATTATCAGCAGTCCATTATGGGATGTGTCTTTTCTAAGCACCAATGCTGGAAAACAATACTAACCTGTTTCAAGTGAGTAACTACAGAAGAAAACAATAATTAAAGATAGCATTTGTGTAGCCGTGGCTGGTGTGGCACAGTTGGTTAGAGCATAATTGTCCCATATACCAAAAGGTCGTGAGCTTAATTCCCAATTAAGGCACATACCCAGGTTATAGGTTTAATTCCCAGTTGAGAGGCAATCAATTCGTTTCTCACATAGATGTTTCTCTCTCTTTCCCTCTCCCTTCCTCTCTCTCTAAAACCAATAATAACGTATCCTGGGTCAAAATTAAAAAAAAAAAGATTGCATTTTTGTAAGCATAGCATTTCGGAGGCAATAAACATGTTAGGATGGAGATATAAACTTCTTGAATTTTGAAAAGTTAAACAATAAAAATTGCCTATCTTTCTTGATTGAAGAATGATACACTGATAAAAGCAAATTTTCTATCATTTATTAATTGTATTTAAAATTTACATGGATCTATTAAAGACATTGTGTAATGTTTCCACTTTATGCCGTAAACAATGACAAACATTTGGCATAAAATAATGTGCATATCAATGTAACAAGTTTGAAAAGTGGGGAATGAAAATCTGAAGTCTGCCTTCATTCTAACAATGATTATTAACACTTCAAATGAACGGATCCTAGATTTCCGTCTCAAAATCCTAAGTTGTTGTTTTTTATAAAGAAAATTCTAAAGGACTTCAACATGCAATGGATATACATATATAAATAACACTCAGAATAACTAGCTTCCATGCTTACGACCTCAACATAAGGCAAAAGCCCATAATTGCACTGATACTCCAGCTCATCGTATTCAAAAAGCAAAGCAATGTGATAGCCTAATGAAACAATCCTTTTTGTCTGCCAGCTTAAAGTCACTAATACAGTTGCAATAAAAACCAACCATCATATGCAGCTTTGATTAGCAGGACAGTTTGTCTTCTGAATGTCTGAGCCAAGCATGAATCTGTTTCTCTAATTATCCTTGTAGGTTAGGTTAGGAAAATGAGGAAGACACATGTTTGTTTTTATAAAACATAATTCTGCCTCCTGGTCTGACCATATCTGATTAGGAGAACAGTAAACCAATCAGATTCTGTCAGATGGAAATATCATGTCTTCTACACTGGGCAACCTCTTGAATATTGTCAGATACTATCAAGCAATTATAAATAATGAAATTATCCATGTCACACATATTGGTTTCTCCTTTTAATTGCTCAAGAAAAACAAGCCTTTGGTAACTCCAGCTATTGTATGCTACAATACAAAACAAATTACCAATGACCATTCCTGAGCTAATACATGGCCAGATGTTGTTCCCATAGCAGTTTGTTTTCTAGAATTCTGTTTGATCTTCTACCTCAATTGACATCAGTAGGTGAATCTGCAGAAATCCTTGTTTTTGAAGAGTTCACATCTCAGGAAATTCTTATTCTTGCCCTCTGATATAAAAATAACTACTCCAGCAAATAAAATCTCTCCAAATAAAAATAAGTCAAGGTTGCTTGATGACTACTACACAGGCACCTGCTCTCCCAATATTCAAGGAAGCCATCTGTTGAAACAATTAAACACAATTTAAGAAATTACTTTTTTGAAAAACATACAAATTCTAATATATTTAAGACACTTATCTGCATTGAAATCTAAATAATTTTTATATTTTCCAATTTAGCTACAAGTAGTACAACAAAAATGTAAATGATGAAAATGGCATTCATAAAAGAGAAATAATTTATATATTAAAATTCTTAAAATATGTGATTTTTAATAAAATAATAAAATATTTTATAACTTCTAGTGAAATAAAACTGCTTTAGAAGTTTCCAGCAAAGATTTATTCTGGAGCTTGCATGGACATATTTGTAAAGATATTTTATAGTGATAGGTTAGAATACATTTTAGATGAAATAGCTATTATACTTATTGAAATCATTTTGAAGTTATTTCCCTTGATATTATACTGAATTCAATGTGTTATTCATTCATCCTAAACCTAGACATACAATGCAGTGACTTTAATATTTTGTCATAAATAGGCCAAATTACAACTGGTATAGGGTTTATTTTAAGAATTAAACCTTATGATGGTCATTGAGATGAGAATTGAGATTTTTAAAAATAATCATGAATATGAAATTGGCTAGAAATATATTAAAAACATTAACTTTTAAAAGTTGTAATAAAAATTTATTCTATGGATGTAAGCCAAGATTGTGATAATTTGAGCTTTTTGATATCAGTGATTTTTATTACAGTTTTCTAAGAATAATTTATGTACTTAAAAATATCAAAGAGGACTAGAAATTGCTAGATATTATTTCAACCTGAAAAGAAAAAGAATAAAATGTAAGAAAAAAATAGCTAAGAGCATAATAACCTCAGATCACAAACATTATCTTATTGATTGAGAAAGGACATAGTCTTACTCTCTAAATATGAAAATTACCACCATTATCTACTAGTTCTTTAAGTGTATTTATTTATTCTTGCCACCCCTTTGTAGGTTAAAAAAAATTCCCATATGGCATTTTACATTCTTTTCATTTAATACATTATTTTTTTAAAATACATTTTTATGTAACATTTCTTGTCTTTAATATAGTTAACTGCTCAAAATGAGAAAAGGGGCATGCGAATTTATTGATAGTATATTGTGTTAAGAATAATTTTTATAGGTCACCACAATCACCTGCATAATCTCATCATGCGTTGTTATCTTCGTATGCCAGGTGTGTGAATGGAATGTCCAGAGACAATATGTAAACCCAAAACATCAATGTATACAAATTAAAGTGCACCTGACTCCAAGGTGCACACACTTTCCATTATCTCTCTTTTGTTTCCAATGATTTTTGGTTCTTGTTTGACATCAGAGTCATCTGAAGAACTCTTACAAAATAGATGTGCTCAAGTCCCACCACTACATAGGAAAGGGATAAGTACTGGGTAGTCATATTTTTTGAGTTTTCCAAATATCCTCTGATGTTCTTTTAATGCTGAGAAAAGTGTGCATAGTTTTTAGACAAAGTGAATAGCTTCATTTTATACTGACATCTACATCTATGTTTCTATACAGGCATATTTGTGTGTATAAAAAAATGAATCTCTGATTTATTTTTATTTTTTTTAAATGAGCTATTCCTAGTGTGTTTTCTTTCTCAGTGAATGACACCACTCTGCTCAAAAGAAAAACCTGGAGCATATCTGTGTCCCTTAATTGTATCTCACTCAACCTTACATCTGAATGCTCAACTATGACCAACTTATTTACACTCATTTCCATGGCCTTCACCCTAATTCAGGTTACCATTTTAACCTGAGTATAAAAAGGAGCGGAATATGCCACCCCAAGATATTTCACTTTTACGATTGTTTAATTTAAATTAAAGCCACTTGAGAGATTAGCGGTGTAGGAGGGACACTCCTTTGTCACCCTGAAATCAGGAAGATAAAACTCCCATGTTCATGGTGCCCACCTTGTACCAGGAGGGTAGAAAATATTCTTATCACCAGAGATAGAGAATTTAGGCCCCCAAAGTCTGTATAAACAAACCTTGTTACTTCTTCATCAATTTACTAGCCCAAGACCAAATCCCTTTGTCTTGTCAATTCTTCACAGATTTATTGTTTTTGTGACTAAACAGTAAAAAAGCTTTCTGCTTTGGTCACTTCTCTGAGTCTCATATTTATGGGATCCCTGTAAATAAATATTGCATTTGTTCACTCCTTTAATCTGTTTATGTTAATTTAATTATTAGATAAGCCAAAGGAACTGGAAGAGAAGGGGAATTTTTCCACCCTAAAGTGGATTAGTAAAATATCTTCCTAACATATTTCTCTAACACTAATCTTGCTTTCTCCATTTTTTTCTACATCCTGTCAAATGCAACCCTTTTAAAACTCAATTCTGATTATTTACTTTTCATGCTTAAAATTCTCTATTAACCTGTCTTCAGTATTACTGTAAAGTCAAACTTCTATGACATGGTTTCTATCCCTAGATCACACAGACCCTGTTTATCTCTCCAAACGTATTGCTCACCAATTCATTTCTTGCTCAATGTAACATGCCACATGTTCTCCTTCCTGTGGCTCTTCACAAATTCTGTTCCTTAAACCACTCCCCATATTTTCATTTGGTGAACTATTTTTCATCTGTCAGCCTTCATTCTACATATCATTTTCTGAAGGAAGATTTCTGTATCCTACACACTTAAGTTCTATCATAGTGCTAAGTAATTCCCTAACCACAGAATTTATCATGGTATTTTAAGCATTTGATATATTCTACATATATACATTTTAAATATTCAAGAGAGCTTTACCCCTTTTCTACCTTGGCCCAAATTTATCTATTTATTTGAAATCTGCCCTGCTATCTCTCCAGGGATATACCTTTCAATTTTAGATGATAACTGGAAAAGTTGACCACAGAACCAATTAGAAAACAAACAAACAAACAAACAAACAGCTGAGGGTATAGATATTTCACCAGCTATTCACAATATCTTATATATCTGAAGTAAACCAATTCATAAAAAGCAAACTGACTTGCAGCAATCATTCTCAATTTATATAAGAAACATTCCCATATCTCTGACTCCATGCCAGCCACTCTGCTCGTCCTTGGAGACATGGCAGTAAAATGCTACACTATCTTTGTTTCTTTACAGCTGCAGGTGGATTCAGCATAACAATACTCTGACCATGTAACTAGAGAAAACATGGAAGGGTGATTTTATCCAGACAAACAGTAAAACTCACTTTTTACTTTTTAATTTGTCTTAAAATACACATATTGTTTTTCAAGTCAAATGAAAGAAATAAACTTAATATTAAATGACAAAATCAAATTTATTTAAAACACACCTATGTGCATGCATGCATTCTCTGTAAAACTAAGTAATATGAATCTGGCAATTGTTCCCAATGTATTTCCATTATTTCCAGAAGCTATCTTGAGTTTTCAAAATATATATTCTTGAATTTTTAAATATAGTTTGCTTGTTTATTTTAATACCTATCCATTGAGGGGTACCAATAATAAATGGGATAAACAATTTTATACATTTATGGGCTAAGTGAAGGGAAAGTAATAGGAATTATTTAGTTAGCAAATACAGCATTTTTTTCTAGTGGCCTGAAATCTTGAAAATTTTCAAAGGGTTTTCATGTGGGTCTGCTGATGGTCCTTCAAGAGTCTTAAAATACAAATAATAAAATGATATGAATGCAAATTTTTAAAAATTTAAGAGCTTTAATGTGAATGTTTATTATATTAAATAAAATTATTATAAAATATTTTAAATGCCACTTTGCTATTTGTAAGATATTATATGATCCAAAAGAGTGTTATAAAATACAGATGAGGGAAAGTGGTCTTTTAGGAGGCTTTTAAATATTATTACTACATATATTATTTTTATTTCAATTTTAAAAGAATGATAAGCATAATGGCTTATTATTATTTATTTATAATAATAAAAGCATAATATTCTAATTAGACCAGATGTCCTTCTGGATGTTTTCCCGGAACACCTTCCAGATGAAGCTGGGCCTACAAGGGAAGCCTCGGTCCCTGGTGCCAGAGGGAAGCTAGTGTCAGCAGCCGGAGAAAGGAAGGCCTACTCTTGCACAACTTTTGTGCATTGGGTCTCTAGTCCTATATAATAAAAGGCTAATATGTAAATCTACCAAACGGTGGAACGACCGGTTGCTATGACATGCACTGACCACCTGGGGGAGATGCTCAATGCAAGAACTGCCCCTGGTGATCAGTGCGCTCCCACAGGGGCAGTGCTGCTCAGCCAGAAGCCCAGATCATGGCTGGTGAGTGCAGCCGCAGTGGTGGGAGCCTCTTCCACCTCCTCGGCAGTGCTAATGATATCCAACTGACATCCCTTAAGGGCTCCCGGACTGCAAGAGGGCACAGGCTGGGCTGATGGACACCCCCCCCCCCCGAGTGCACAAATTTTATGCACTGAGCCGCTAGTACCAGTGATGGCAAACCTTTTGAGCTGGTCACGTCAGCATTTTGAAAAACCCTAACTTAACTCTGGTGCCGTGTCACATATAGAATTTTTTTGATATTTGCAACCATAGTAAAACAAAGATTTATATTTTTGATATTTATTTTACATATTTAAATGCTATTTAACAAAGAAAAATCAACCAAAAAAATGAGTTCGCGTGTCACCTCTGACACGCGTGTCATAGGTTCGCCATCACTGCTCTAGTACAGTGGTTCTCAACCTTCCTAATGCTGCAACCATTTAATACAGTTTCTCATGTTGTGGTGACCCCCGACCATGAAATTATTTTCATTGCTACTTCATAACTGTAATTTTGCTACTGTTATGAATCATAATGTAAATATCCGATATGCAGGATGTATTTTCATTGTTACAAACTGAACATAATTAAAGCATAGTGATTAATCACAAAAACATTATGTAATTATATATGTGTTTTCCGATGGTCTTAGGTGACCCCTGAGAAAGGGTCATTTGACCCCCAAAGGGGTTGCGACCCACAGGTTGAGAACCATTGCTCTAGTATATAATAAAAGATATACTATCTAATTTATATGCCAATTAACTTCCTTTACTTACTGTTCATTTGTAAAAGTGGCAAACTTAAAATATATACCATTGGCCCTAGCCGGTTTTGCTCAGTGGATAGAGCCTTTGCCTATGGACTCAAGGGTCCCAGGTTTGATTCCGGTCAAAGGCACATGCCCCAGTTGTGGGCTCGATCCCCAGTTGGAGGAGTGTAGGAGGAAGCCAATCAATTATTCTCTCTCATCATTGATGTTTCTAACTCTCTCTCCCTCTCCCTTCCTCTCTGAAATCAATAAAATATATTTTAAATAAATAAATAAATAAATAAATAAATAAATAAATAAATAAATGTATACCATTGAACTGGTACATTTCCTTAGCAAATCAACAATCCTGAATTCATGCAATATTCCCTGGGTAAACACTAGGTTCTCTGAAAGATAAGAATTTAAAGTATATCCTCTAATATTTTAGTGCAATAATGATTAACATTTCAATATTTTCTTCTTTTTGGAGAAGGAATGCTTCTTCTCTCACAAATTAAAGTAAAATTTACAGAAATGATGATACCTATTTCTTCAAATACTTCCCCTTCTTTCCTTCATTCTACCTTCTTTCTTCCTCCTTAGTGAATTTCATATATCCTCATTGGAGTCAAAGAGTTTTCTCATAGAGAGGAGTGAGATTCATAGCCAGGTACCTTAGCCTGTTTGCTATGAATTTGGGTTTGTACTTAAATGCAGCCTATCTAAATACTGTGTGTGAAAATATTTCTAAACTGGGAAAATCAAGGGAGTGATGTATCTCTAAAAGTAGATATTTTTAAAAGAAATTTACTTCAAGCATTATTCATGTTTTTCAGATAAATTTTAGTCAATTTCTGTGACCAAAAAATAAAACCTTTCACCCAGAAAGATGAGAGATGAAGTTATTGTTCTGCTTCAACTAAATAAGGCTTTGGAATTTCACCTCACCCATTAATGGAAAAGGTTTGTTTGTTTGTTTGTACAGTATTTTGCTTTTAGATTTCTGATAAAGGAGTGAGATAATAAAGATATTGGAAAAGAAATAAGGGGAAGAAAGGAGAAATTGAATATAAGGACACCGGTCTGAGAATATTATATCCATTTTCATCATTACAAGCAATGACATAGTAGTTATAAAGCACAGGGTATTTTTTACTATAATTAAGTTGCTCTAGTCTCATTTCCCCCCAACACTCATACACACCAGCACAAATTCTTTAGCTATATTACTAAAATGGGAGCTGAGTCTCTAACTACAGTGTATATTCAAGGATAACCCCTCACCTAAGATCAGCCAACCATTTCACTCCATCTTTTGGGCCAAAGTGATTATCCAGGGATGAATGTTTTATACATGACAGACCATTCAGAGCCCTTTGCTGTTTGTTTTTTATCAATCAAATAGTTCTTTTATTTTATCTTTTATGGCTGAGTATTGCTACTTGGAGTTTCCACCCATGGAAAATGTCTCTGCAACAGGTAACAATAGACCTAACATAGTCAAGCAGAAATGGGAGGCAGAAAGTTGATTTCTGTAGGCTTCCACCCTCTTTATAACAGTTATCTCTAAAATCAAATATTCTGAAGTTAGGGTTTTGTGAATCAATATATTCTACATGTATTTTTGCTTTAGCTAATTATCATTCAGTTCCTATAATTATTTATAATAAAGTGGAAACATGAATGTCACTTTTTAATATAAATTTTATTAAAGTATAGAGTACATTAGAGAAAAGTGCACAACAACATGTAATTTAATGAACTTTACAAAATGAACACAATAGATTAAATCAATCACTTTGGGTTCAGAGTAATTTGAGAAGGTAGATTACTGTATGTATCCTTCTCCTCCAAAGAAAGTAAATGAAATTCATTCTTATATTTGAAGTAAAGTATGCTGGCAAAACCTTACCTGTGTCCACTCATTAGTTTGTGGATCATAGGATTCCATGGTGTTGAGGTATGTCTGCCCATCGTAGCCACCAACAGCATATAATCTGTCACCAAGGAGACAAACTCCAACAGCATCTCTGGGCATACTCAAGGGAGCCACGGTGGTCCATGTGTCTGTTTTGGGATCATATCTAAAATATAAAGATAATAGGACATATTCTAACATATTCAACTTTTACTATATGGATGATGCCCACACAAAAGAAAGCCATGAAAAACAAAATTGTGATTTTGTTTTTTTCCTAAAAGCTAATTTTTTTGAGCAGGTGTTCAAGAGCTAATATCCACAATGTCTGGCTCTCTAAACTTTAAGGTATTTAAAACATATACCTAGACTCTTATTTATATAGCTGCACAGTCATCTAACAAAATGAGTATGAAAATAGTTTATTTTCTTGAGGAAGTCAGATATGCAAATAACTATTTACCACAGCATAAGCAGTGTTATGGTAAAGAAACAGAAGTAATTGTTAAAAATCTGAGAGAAGTATGCAATACTTCACTATTAAAGTATCCATTAAATCAGGTCTGAAAGTCTAGCCTAAGTTTGCTATATATAAAAAGTTGTGTAAAAGTACTGACGTGTTAATAAAAATGCATAAACAGCTTCCAGGAAAGTGGGTGTGCAGTATGGCTAAGCTTATGAATGTATGAAAGAGTAGAGTGCCAAAAAAGGTGCGTGTTTTCTTGTTGTTTTTTTTTTTTAAATATGTTTTTATTGATTTGAGAGAGGGGGTAAAGGGGTTAAAGAAAGAGAGGGAGAGACAGCAATGTGAAAGAAACATGATCAGCTGCCCCCTGCACAGCCCTTACTAGTGATCCAGCCCACAACCTGGGCATGTGCCCTGACCAGGAATCTAACCAGTGACCTCTGGGTGCACAAGAGGATGCTCAACCAACTGAGCCACACCAACCAGGGCAAGGTGTTTTGTGATCAACTTATGAATGTTTGATTCCCAGAGTAAGAAGGTGTTTTGTGTTTTCTCAATAGGAAAATAGGGAGCCTTTGAAACTTGGGAAAATAATTACAGCATGAACAGAACTATATTTTAGTGACATAACTCAGGATTTTCCATAAGGGAGACATTGGTAAATCAAAAGAATGAAATAGGGAATATAAATTATTATTGCTTAATTTAAACCAAAATTAATCTAATTTTCAGAAAGTTTGATTACCATACAGTAAATACAGATATTTTATATTTTAGGGTAACAAAAATCTGAAGAATGGTTTAGTTAATGAGCTTTACTTCAGCAAAAATAAAATGAATTCTTAAACCACCTCTTTGCCTTTAATTTGCCACTATAGGTTCAGATACAGGGACAAGAAAGCTAGTAAGAAGTAAAAACTCAGCAGAGTAAATACAAAGGTGTGGGGGGGTGGAAGCTGGGTGGAGGTGGGCAAATAGGGTAAAAATGGCAACATCTGTAATAATATCTGTAAGGACAGCAAATAGGCCTTTCTTTTTCATTGCTGTGGCCTTGCACAACTTATGAGAAGCACCTGGTCATAAACTCCAAGATTGTTGACTCCTCTGTTCAAACTAAAGGATAAAATAAGCTACTCTCAAGGCTACATTCTTCCATCCAACTCCTCCCTGCTGTTTTAACAGCTTCAGAATAATTTGCTCCCCATCCTCTCCTTCCTTTCCCTCTCCCCTTCAAACAGATTTCCCTTTTGAACTCTTTATAACTTTTGGTCTAAGCTTGTTTTACAGATTTGGAAAAAATACTGATAAGACACCTCCTTAGAATATCTGCTGGACTGTCTCCTGGAAAATAAACAAACAGTAACTTTCCAAGACAACCCTTCTGGTGTCTGCTCAGTTTCAACACCATTCCCCTCCCTTCCTTGTTGCTTAGCAACTACTGAACAACGCAAACTCCCTTTGTTCTCTGCCCTGTATTGACTAGCAATACTTGGCCCTTTACTCCCTTGGAAAAGAAAATAAATTTCCTCTCTGCATCTTTTTTCTTAGTTGTGAATTGTTTCACAGCCCATGTCACTGAGCAAGCCTTAACAGTGTCAGCAATAAGATAAGGGGTGGGGACTGAATGAGTTTTTGTTTTGTTTTTTGTTTTTGTTTACAAACACAGTAAATATACTCTGTCTTTCTGCTTCAATCTTGTTTTTCACTAATTGAAACTTTCAACCCACAAACTCTTTTTTTAAAAATATATATTTTATTGATTTTTCACAGGAAGGGAGAGGGATAGAGAGTTAGAAACATCAATGAGAGAGAAACATCGATCAGCTGCCTCCTGCACACCCCCTACTGGGGATGTGCCGGCAACCAAGGTACATGCCCTTGACCGGAATCGAACCTGGGACTCTTTAGTCTACAGGCCTACGCTCTCTAGCCACTGAGCCAAACTGGTCAGGGCGTCAACCCACAAACTCTTAAAACAAAGAAACAAACACAAAAAACAAGCCAAAAAAACTCACCTATAGTTTATTAGAAATAAAGAAGGTTGTTATAACAAATGATTGGAAAGACTCCAAGGATCTGTAATTTATATTTTATAGAGAATATTCATGTTACTCAAGATATTACATGCAATTACACTCCTTGGTTGAAGAAGTTGGGACAGCCTATAAAATGAGAGACTGGTTGAATGCTTGCAAATCAGGACCACCTTAAAGCACAGGTTGTCTAGCAAATAAAAATGCAATTTTATATGCAGCAATTAAAAAATGCAACCATCACAAAGAGACACAGACATATATAGATACACAAACACAGACACAAACTATGCCATCATAACCTTCTTTACAATATTTAAATTTATATCATATTTTGACATTTATAAATATATTTTTAATGAGGACCAAAATAAGTAGAGAAGAAAAGACACCACAAGGAGTCAAATAGTACAATCTATAAAGTAGAATATACACAGGATAACTGAGTTTTTCAATTAAAAAACAACAACAGTAATAATAAATAAATAAGAAGTAACTGTGAATAAATTCAATGTGATTTAAAAACATAACAAAATGAGTGGGCCTTATTTGGATCTCAATTTAAACAGACCAACTATTAAAAGATGTTTGAGACATTTTGGAAATTTTAATTTGGGGCATCAGAGTTTAATAAGACATTATTGAAGTTTCTATTAGTTGTGATAATGACATTGTGATTATGTTGAAATATAAAGCTCTGATTATTTTATTCGCTTGTTTCTGGGGTGAAATCAGAAATATATTCAGCAAAAACGACATCTTGAAGAATTTATTTAAAATAACGCCAATGAAAAAGGAAAGGACAGTGAAGGTGAATGAATAAAACAGGAATGACAGATTGGTGGTGGTTGTTGAAACTGGGTAATGAGTATAAGGGAATAAATTGCATTGTTTACTTTTTGTTTGTCAGGAAATTATTGTTGTAGATATAACTTTAAAAGTAAGAATGTATAATATACTTTAATTTCAGTGAACAGTGAACATTCTTTTATTTTATTCATTGTTCAATAGAATCCAATCTGGCTTTTGTCACAATCAATTCACTTAAACTGCTTTTTCTGAAGTCATATTTTAGTCCTCAATTAATTTTTATTCAGCACTATAGAATTCTTTCCAGCAGCTTGTCTACAAAGCAGACTTCATTTATCACTTTGCAAAAAAGCAGAAGAACTGAGAAAACAGCTAACAGTATTACACTAATAATAAATGAATTTCTGAAAGCTTATGAATCTTCAAGTGAAATTCAAATATCAAAAAAAATCTCAAATACTCATATTCCAGGATAAAATAAGAACACACTAGGGTGTTCGATACACTTTAAAGATAATATCCTATGTTTAGAAATAGATATCATTTCTTTTATATTTTACACACATTCCTGAAGAGAATTTTAAAAATCTAGTGCTTTCTTTTATAAAATCTAAATCTTTGAATTAGATGTACCTCTCATTAGTGGTAGGTAATATACTTTACATGTGTAATACAATCTTTTATAATTAATAACTGGCAATGTTGATTATATTTAAATTTATATATTGTTATAAACAAACAAACCAAAACAAAACAAAAACCAAGTACAACCTTCTCTCCTCCCAAACAAAAGCTCTTTCCCTGATATTTAAAAAGTAATCCCATAAATTCAAAATTATCTGCTAATAATTATACTTTTTTCACATTAATAACTTTAAATTGATTTTCCTGTATTCAGAGTTTTATAAATTCACCTCTCAGCCTGGAGATATACAAGATTGCTACCCCCAAAATGAAACAAATATTTGTTTGTTTGTTTTAGCTTAGGGAAGGATTCACAGATGTATAAGCATTTTTCAAACAATTACTAATAGTGAACTCTGTCACTGTCATTTCTGGTGTTTGACAAGATTTAGTTCTAAGCATTTAGGGAAGTGGGTCTCTGGTTTCCTGTTCATTAAAAAGAAAAAGGAAAGGCAGGGGCTGCCTTTTATATTTAGGCTCTGTTTCCTATGTTTCACCTTGGCCTTCATGGTCAGAGTATGAGCTCTGCATCAGGAACTCTATTAAAGTTTATAGACCTCAAGCAAGAGAAGCACCGTATATACACTGTGGCTAAAATTGGCTGCAAAGTGAACACTTGCTGAAGGCACACAGCAGTTAGAGAACAAAAGTTAGTTTCTCATTGAAAATCACTATTGAAGTTTTTCAGGTACCTTTCATTTTCAAACATGGTCATTTCTAAAGTTTAAGGATAAGAATCAATCTTAAAATATTTAAAGGGAAATTGTTTTAAATATAAAAGCATTATTTTGATAGCAAATATAATTGAAAATATCCATTTTTCTAAATTTATACAGCTAATTTTCAGCTAGAAAGCACATTAACAACACAGAAATTAGCCAGGTAGGTTTTCCTATTAAACAAAAACAAGTAAGGAAGCAAAGAAAAAGTAAAAGAAAAATAAAATAACTGAAAGAGCAGTCTTTAGATTTCTAGTAAAATAATTATGCAATCTATATTTGAATTGATTTTAATAAATTATTTGTGAATTATGAGTGAAAATAAAATAATTTATTTTTCCTGTAAACTGACATCATAATAGGTATCATGAGATTATCAAAGTGACTTTATAATGATTCTTAATATCTATTTCTTCTTTAAGGTTTTCTTGGATTTTAGGACTCTTTATTTTTA